CTTGAAAGGGGGCAGAGAGGAGATGAGGGAGGGAGGGTAGGATTGGGAGGGAATGAAGGGGGGGGCTACAGCTGGGATACAAAGTAAATAACCTGTAATTAATATAAAAATAAAAATTATTATTTAAAAAAGCTGACTTCATTAGAACAAACTTGGAATTTTTTCACAGAATGCATTGTGTCACATATTTATTCAATGTGCTGTTTGAGAAGTCTTGGTGGGTTCCTAAATGGCTAACTCCCCCTCCTTGTTTGTCTAGTTGAGATTTCAGAGTTGTGTTGGCAATTAAAGCTATTTTGGAGTGCATGTGTTCTCAGCACCTGTTTCAGGCTGTTTTTAGGTGTTTTGTCCTGGCCACCTGCTTTTCTTTACTTATCTTTATTCCAAAATGAAGTGAAGGAAGTTTCTATTCTTTGGTTTCCTCTTTCCTAAGTTCATTCTCTCAGTGTAGACATTTCTATATAGTTCTAGAAGTCAGGAATAAAATCTTATGCTAGATACACTCTTTGGTCAATTAAAAGCATAGCTCAAGCCACTTGGCTGCTATTTACCGAGCTTTTATAGAGAAGGAGCTCTCTTTAAAAAAAAACTGAGCATGAAATGTAGCACTCTCATATATTTTTGGTTGCAAGCCTTGCCTTTAGTGATTTCAATGGGCAGCTTGGCCTTTATGTGGGTCTCCTAGTAAGGGGAGCAGGATCTGTCTCAAATATGGACTCTGTTGCCTGTTATCACTCTGTTGTTGTTATCACTTCCCCCCTGGCAGGGATGCCTCACCAGGCCACAGGGGAAGAGGACGTGCTCAATCCTAATGGGACTTGATGTTCTGGGTGAGTTGATGGGAGGGATCCCCTTTTCTGAGAAGTAGGAGAGGGGGGATAGGTAGAAGAGGGATAGAGGGTGGGACCAGGAAGAGAGGGGGAAGAGGGCTACAATTAGGATGTAAGATTAATAAATAGCTTAACTAATTAATTAAAAACTTAGCAGTCACCCCCTTACCCAAGAAGGATGAGATAACTTCAGATTACAGAAGATAGAAGGAAGGGGGTGGGGGTCCAGAGAAAGAGGCTGTCCCTGAAAACAGTACCTATGCTCAAATGAACGCTTTCTAGATAGTCAGATATCGGAGGACATACAGACAAGTGGGAGACTGACCAGAGCCACAGGGGTAGCTCCTCCTGCCTCTTTTAATTGTCCAGGGTTCCGTTTGTGGTCCTTCCGTCCTCCTGTGTCTCCTGGGGCCCATGAACAGCTCCCCTAACTTCTAGGTGGCAGGAGAGAATCTCAGTCACTTAAAAGTCACAAATGCTTGTTGGTATAAAATAGTTTTGAAGACCTTGGTCAAGTTTTAGCCTGTGAGGCTTGTTTTCTGAAGGAAATGTCCAGCAGCTGGAGTAAAGTGTGGACGTAAACGCACTCTTTTGGGTAACAGGTTGTGTCCTCAGAGAGAGACGTCTAATGGATGGAGGGGAGGTAGATTCTCAAAACCCCCATTGAACCTGCCTGTCTTTTCGTGTATGAGTGTGTGAGTGTGTGCATGGCATATGTGTATGAGTGTGTGTATGAGTGTGTGTGCATAATGTGTGTTTGAGTGTGTGTGTCTAGAACAGTTGCCAAAGGCCCCTTTCAACTGCTGCCTTTGTCCCTGCCACTTTTGATGAATGAAGGTGATCAAGAAGCTTCACTTATATCCAGCATCTCCAGCTGCCCATGACTCCAGTTCATCTCCAGCTCCTGGCTACCTGGAAGCCTCTGACTATTACGTCCATAGCATCTCAGAGCCAATTTACATAGACATGAACTTGCTGGATCCACATTTAATCCTTTATCACTGCTGTTCTGTCAACACGCTTTCCCAGTTCCTTTTTTGTTTTCTTGCACGTCACGTCAGAAGGAAATGTACTGGCCTGACAGCCCTCTGTGAGGGTGCAACATGAAGGAGAGAATACCCGAAAGAGCAATGAAGCAATTCCCTTTTCTCTAACTGTGTCTGGCCACATGCACTGTTCAAACATTCAAAGTCCTTTATGAGCGATTCAGATTTAATTGTGGCAACATCACAGCAGATGTAGGACATCTCTCAATTGATACAACGCTGCAAATTGCAGAATATCTTCAGGTTTACTTTCACAATTTTGCCTTTAAATTTTCTCTGGCTACAGGTAATTTAGTGGGCAGTTGGCTGTAAATTCTCATCAAATTCAGCAATCTGTCCTCCAATCTTATTTTCAACATCACAAAACTTTATGAATATCGGGTTTAGCAGTTAATGAAGTTGGCATAGCGCTGTGTTTATAGACATTTCATTTTTGCCATTTTCTTGCCCTGGTTTAGAGGTTATACACATTTTGCCAGCTCTTGGGTTTTCTCCAGACTTGGATAAAGCTTGGTGGTCTGGCACTGGGCCAAAATTAGGCCATGGAGAGACACTGATGGAGGAAAGAACTTGGACTGCTGAAGAAGCAGGGGACTGAGTGAGCAGTGAGCAGAGCTGGAGGCAGCAGAGCCTGTCCGGCAAGGTGATGGAAGGTCTACCAAGGGATGCTGTGGACCACTGTGCATAGAGAGGAATTGTATCACTTACTAACTTTCCATTTCAACATGCCAGGCATAACCACAGAGCCGATCCATCAAACGTAAATCTCTCTTCCTGTTAATCCGGTCAGTGTTGTAACTTGTTGATTGGAAATCTTCCTTAGATTCTTAGTACGAAGGAAGATATTTAGGACAATCTCAGTTTGGAGAAATGAATGATTAAAAAAAAAAATCAGTCCCCTTGCTATCAAAAGGACCGGCAGCTTGAGAAACAGCCATCATATCTATTCTGCCATCGTATCCTCCAAAATAGATCAAGGAATGCCTTTGTCCACAGCCACCAGTATACTCCAGCACATGCAGGTGGCACTTAGTCCCCTAGAAGAACCCCCACTGCCGCTCCTGTCGCCTCTGACAAGCACTTTCCACCCATAGCCACAATACTTTTAAACGTCTAAGTGAGATCATGATACACATCTGTTTCAAACTAGGACAAACCCCAGTATTTCACATTGCTCTCTAGGGCCACTACACAGTCAAGCTCTTTGCTTGTCCCACAGTCTTTCTTTGTGAGTCTCTTTGCCTCCTCATTCTTGTTCCAGATTCTTATCATGGTCTCCTGCACTACTCTGGACTCCAATGTCCCCCAGAGGTTTCTCCTCATAGTCTTTCCAAATCACCCCGCTCTCTTTTTCTGGGACCAGGAACTGCACTCCCCGCCCTCCTCAGTCTCATCATCACCTAGGACAGTCTTATGGATGGTACTGGCTCACTAGCCATTTCCCCTAGATCATAAGCTGTGCAAGCAAAGGGCTTTTCTATTGATCTTCATCATTAATACCTGCTGCTACACTTCCTGTCTTACCCGTGCTGTGATTCCATCAGTAAACAGTTCCGTGTATAAAATTAGTCTGTCAATAAATAAAAAACTTTGTGAAACGAAATCCTCATAGTGGAGAATCCTAATGAATAGGCTACAGTTTAGGGAACCACCTATAAATCTGTTAGGGTCATACTCCATTATATTAGCAATTTTTAGAGGCACTAAAACTTTTAGGTACCGAGAATATTCTTCATCGCTGTTGGGAATAACGGGAAGTGGCTTTCAGCGTGTTCACCTCGTCCGCCAGTTAAGATTTCTAGACTATCATATCATAGCGGTTGTCCAACTAGGCTACCCGGTGCTCATGGGAAAGCTGAGCTTCAAAGGGTGCCTCTCATACCATCACATCCTCCAACACCAACGCACGCCCGCCCAGCGCTGCCCGCCTCCCCCTTGCAAACTCTTGTTAATCCAGCTTCATTTTAATTCCTTTCTCTTCTTTCACTTTCTTTTTC